CATCTCTAAACCATACATAGTTACAGCATTTTTTTCTTGTGATGGCAACTTTTAAGATTTACTATCTTAGCAACTGTAAAATATGCATTACAGTATTATTAATGATGGGGCTTCCCTGGTGGCTCAGTAGTAAAGATCTGCCTGCCACCACAGGAGACTCAAGTTTGATCCTTGGGTGGGGAAGATCTCCTGGAGGAGGGCATGGCAACCCACTCCAGTATTCTTGCCTGGGAATCCCATGGACAGAGGAGCCTGGTGGGCTACGGTCTATGGGGTCACAAAGGGTCAGACATGACTTAGCAGTTGAGCATGAGCACACACAATTAACTATAGTGGCCACGCTGTATATTACATTCCCAGGACTCATTTATTGTATAACTGGGAGTTTGTACCTTTTGATCCCCTTTACCTGTTTTGTGGCCCCTGCCAGCAATCACAGATCTCTTCTCTGTATCTTTGAGCTTGGGGTGGTTTTTTGATCTGTTTTTTAGATTCTACATTTAAGTATATATAAGTGAGGTCATACAGAATCTGTCTTTCACATAGCATAATTCCCTCAAGGTCCATCCGTGTTGTTGAAAATGGCAAGATTTCATTCTTTCTCATGACTGAATAATATTCCATTGTATACACATACCACTGCTTTTTTCACCCATTCACTCATTGATAGACACTTAGGTTGTTTCCATGTATTGGCTATTGTAAATAATGCTGCAGTGAACATAAGGGAGCATATAGATTTTCTTCGGATAAATACCCAGAAATGTAACTGCTAGATTATATGGTTGTTTTGTTTTGTTTTAAAATTTTTGAGGACCCTGCATGCTGTTTTCCAGAGTGGCTGTACCAATATTTATTCCCAACAACAGTGTAGGATGGTTCCTTTTCTTCACATCCTCACCGACACTAGTTATTTGTTATCTTTTGATGATAGCCATTTTGGCAGGTGTAAGGTGATGCCTCATTGTGGTTTTGATTTGCATTTTCCTGATGACTAGTTGATGTTGAGCATCTTTTCATATGGCCATCTGAATGTCTTCCTTTGAAAAAATGTCTCTTCACATTTTCTACCCATTTTAAAATCAGAGTGGGTTTTTTTTTGGAAATGAGTTGTTTGAGTTCCTTTTATATGATAAATATTTACATTATATTTTATATTTGGGTATTAGCCCTTTATCAGATACATGATTTGCAAATATTTTCTTCCATTTGGTAGGTTGCCTTTTCATTCTGTTGGTTTCCTTTGCTGTGCAGAGCTTTTTAGTTTGACGTAATTCCTACCTGTTTGCTTTTGCTTTTCTTGCCTTTGGTGTAATGTTTCAATAATCTTGTTGGCGCCTGTTGAGTTCACCTCACTTCTATGGAAGCTGCTTTGTGTCTTGCAAAATCCTTGCTGTTTCCAACTGTCTGAAATCTCTGTATAACTCTCTGGCACCTTTAGGATGAGCCAAATGTTTCATGTGGACACAGGCCCTTCCTTTCTGGCCCTGGTTTATCTCCTGCTCCTTCTCCCTCCCACTGTTCTGTCTGTTTCCCTTCTCACTCCCCTGGTCCACACACACACCATTTTATCTGCTCCAACTTACAGGCCACTCACCCCTCATGTTCTTGATGGCTCCTTTTGAGGATGAACCTGGGTTTTTTGGCATCAGGGAATAGGTAAGGCCCTTCCTGTTGAAGCTGGGGCACTGATTGCTTGCAAATCTGAGGTCAAGAAGGGGAAAAGTGGGAAAAGGGGAAAGGTAGGAGAGAGGGATAATTTAGGAGTTTGGGGTTGACCTGTGCACACTGCTATATTTAAAATAGATAACAAGCAAGGACCTACTCTATAGCACAGGGAATTCTACTCAATGTTCTGTAATAACCTAAATGGTAAAAGAATTTTAAAAGAATCAATATATGTATATGTATAACTGAATCATTTTGCTGTATACCTGAAACTATACAACATTGTAAATCAGCTATACTCCAATACAAAATAAAAATATTTAAAAAAAAGAAGTTTACAGGTCAGCTCCATGATTTGTTGATAGATTGAAATCTCACTAAATGAACTACACGTTCCTTATAAAAATATGGAGTTAAATTCCCATAGGCAGAACATCCCTCTCTATAGGTTTCTTCTTTGTCATGTGTTCTTTTTAAATCCACCTGAAATGTGATATCTTATTTTCCAGGCAGAGTCAGTTTCTCCCTCCACTCTGCTCCCCAAACTCAGCTCCATGTTGTTAAAGGAAGAAAAAACAGATGTGGGCACTTTGTCAAAGTTTAATACAAACATGGTAAAAATAAACTGACTCTTTGAGGATCTAGATGGAAGATTTTTTTTCTCAGGGTGAGGCAAAATTGCATTACCTTATTCATCAGGGCATGGGGACAGCTGTTTTTACCAATTAGTTTTGATCTTTGTGTTTCATTCTTAAGGATAAGAAGACAAATAACCCAATTGGAAAATGGGGAAAGGACCTGAATAAACCTTTCTCCAAAGAAGATACACAAAGAGCCAATAAACACATAAAAAATGTTCGACATCATTAGCCATCTGGGAAATACAAATCAAAGCACAGTACTACTTCTCAACCACTAGAATAGCTGTAATTTAAAAAATGCTCAATAACAAGTGCTGGTGAGAACGTGGACAAGTTGGAGTCCTCATACACTGTTGGTGGAGGTGTAAAACGATACAGCTGTCTTGGAAAACAGTGTTTTGTTCTTGTTCAGTCACTCAGTCCTGTCCGACTCTTTGTTACTGCATGGACTGCAGCCAGGCTTCCATTCATTTCCTGAAATGCAAAGGTAAAATGATTGACTGAGGAGGACTTACAAATAGCTGAGAAAAGAAGAGAAGCAAAAGGCAAAGGAGAAAAGGAAGGAAAACAGTGTGTCTGTTCTTCAAAAACTTAAACATAGAATGCCTATGATCCAGCAATTTCACTCCTAGGTATATACCCAAGAAAAACAAAAACATATGTTCATGCAAAAGCTAATACACAGTGTTCATAGCAGCATTATTCTTAATAGCCAAAGAGTAGTGACATCCCAAATGTCCATCAACTGACAACCAGATAAATGTGGTCTATTCATACAATAGAACATTATTCATCAGTAAAAAAGAACAAACTACTCTTATGTGCCACAAGATGAATGAACCTTGAAAACATGCTAAATGAAAAAACTCAGACACAAAAAGACCATATAATATATGATTACACTTATGTGAAATGTCCAGAATAGGCAAATCTAGAGACAGAATGTAAATTTGTGGTTGCCAGGGGATGGAGGGAGGGGAGAATTGGGAATTAAGTGCTGTTAGATATGTCCTGGAATTGGATGGTGGTGACAGTTGCAGCAGAAAGAGCATGGTCAAATGTACATTCCTGGTCTGTTAAAGTGCCCGGGTGTTCAATATGCATGCATTTTATCGTGTATTTAATATGCAAGAGGAAACAACCCTAGCCATCCACTAAATATATAGCTGAAGTCTTTTCCTCCAGAATCTAGTGGTAACCCTGTCCAGTCATTGAGTGCACAGTGAGCTACCGCCTTGGCGCTTGGGGTCGGGGCCCATTCTTTCCGGCCTCTAGGTCAGGGTCAGCAAACTGCAGCCCTCAGGCCAAGGCTAGGTGGCCCTCTGTTTCTATGTGGCTCTTGAGCTAAGAATGGCTTTTACTTTATAAATGGTTAAAACTAAACCAAAAAAAGAATATTATTGCATGACATGTGGAAAGCTTATGAAATTCAAATGTTTCAGTGTCCATAAATATTTACTGAATACGGCCATGCCCATCTATCTACTGTTGCTTGCAGCTGCTTTTGCACTTGGACAAAGACCCCGTGGCCCACAGAGCCTAAACTATTTACCATCTGCCCCTTTATGGAAAACATCTGCCAGCCTCTGCTCTACAGATAAAGAGTTGAGTGAATAGTGTTTCCAGGAGTGAGGAGGGTGCTCTGGCCTGGACCTGCTGACAGGGCTCTGCTGGGGTTGTGACTGCTCCTTCGGGCTGGAGTTGCCTCATCTGGAACAGGAGACGGCTTGCATGATGGCTCTCTATAGCGTCTTTCCAGCTTTGACCGTCTCTAGTGTATCGAGATTCCAGTTTGTTCGGTGGCCCCCAGGTGGCCAGTGGGGCAGGGGGCAGCGCTCTTGTCTGGGACAAAGCCAGACTCCCTGGGGGCCAGGGAGTCACGTGAGCACACGGCACGGAGCTGGACACAGACCTGGGGAGCCAGTGTGTCTGTACAGGGCAGATCTGAAAACGGGCCCTCTCCAGGGCTCAGAAGCAGACGATTTGGGCCACTTTCATGTGTCCTAGTTTCATAGATTATATGTAACCCAGTTCTATTTATTTCTTTATTTAATGGCTGCGCTGGGTCTTTGTCGCTGCACGGGCTTTTCCCTAATTGCAGAGAGTGGGGGCTGCTCTCCAGGGGCGGTGCACAGGCTTCTCATTGCGCTGGCTTCTCTTGTTGCAGAGCACGGGCTCACTAGCTGTGGCGCATGGGATTCATTGCCCCGCGGCATGTAGAACCCTCTCAGACCAGGGGTTGAACCTGTGTGGCCTGCACTGGCAGGTGGATAAGAATCCACTGAACCCCCAAGGAAGTCCCATGTAATCCAATTCTTTTAACCCTGGGGAAGAAGGACATGGCTGATGCTAAATATTGGGGACCTGGAGAAGGGCATGGCAATCCACTCCAGTATTCTTGCCTGGAGAATCCCATGGACAGAGGAGCCTGGTGGGCTACAGTCCGTGGGGTCGCAAAGAGTCAAACATGCCTGAAGTGACTTAGCACAATTATTGGTGAAGGTTGGCAAGGGATGATAGCAGAGGCTGGCAATCTGAAATTCAGGTTTTCAAAATCCGATCTAGCACTTCCAGCAGGTTTGTGGAAATTGACCAGGTAACTGTCATGTCTCCTGTCCATAGAGTAGCAGGGCAGAGTCTCTGTGGTGCTTCCTGTTTTCTCAGTACTAATATGTGGCTCTTTATCCACAGTCCAAGGGATCACGAGTTGTTGGCATCATCACTCCAGCCTGGTGTCTGTCGCTATGGAACCATACTGGCCTGCTGCTATGGCTGGAGAAGGAGCAGCAAGGGAGTCTGTGAAGGTACTTTTGTAAAAACTCAGACCACCCAGTGTTCAGGTAGTTGGCCTGGGTCCTGCAGTTTTTCTCTGTGACACCATAAGCTGTCACCAGGTTACCAGTGGCTTTCCCAGAGCAGGGACACAGTCCTAACTGACACCCAAGGTCTAAGTTCTTGTGAGATCTCTTCCCATTCAAAATGTGGCTGACACCATCACCCTTGATATGATGTGTTTGTTCTAGGAGCCCTCTTTCATCAATTATTTCTGCTGTTCTCTTAGTCAGTATGGCTGTTTTTGTTTTAATCTAGAGAAACTGAGTTAGGCAAAAACAGGTCAAGAAATACCTCATTCTAATTATAATTTTTGCAACTGATTTCTAATGAATTCCACTTTCTAATTATGAATCACCCAACCAGTAGGCTTAACAAAAAGGCTAGCCATTTACTTTGTAGTTCAGTTACTCACATTTTTCAAGTCCATTGTGCCAATTTCTAGATGGTTTCAAGGGATGCATGCATCCCTTGATGCAAGATGCAAGGGATGCAAGATATGCATGGTTCTATTGTGTACATTTCACACTAAGTTTGCATAATTTGCTTTTGACCTCATTTCTCAGACCAGTGTTAGGAACTCCAAGAGAGCCTCTGACAATTTCAAGAGTTGGGGAGGCTAGGGATGAGCACAGAGTTTTGTGTTGCATTGTTTTTCATGTAAATTTCTATAATAATGGACACTCACAGTGTAAAAGAATCAAATCTGTATTCTCTGTAGCTGACTAACGGGGTACATTCTTTCAGGGCAGGAATCTGGTCTCAGGGCCTTGTGTATCTAGTAGGTGGCATAGAACCTGAATCCTTAATCTGTTAAGTGGGATGAACAGACATTTGCACATCCCATATACTTTAGGCACTGGTGTGGATCATATTGGATTATAAACTATAAAGCCCAAAAGTGTTAGTGATTTTTAAGAAGAATGATTCTACCTTCTTTTTCTGCTCTTTCCCTGCCCCAACCTCCTCCTCTTTGATTTAGCTGGTTCAAAAATAATCTGGGTAGACCATAGCTGTGGGCAGAACTTGATCATGTCCGAAATCCATGAAACATTGGAGGACATTGATCTCGCTCCCACATGTTTGATATTATGTAAAACCCTGCACTGTCGCAGTTTCCTTATGAGGAGATGACAAGAGTGTGAAGATAGTAGAAGAAATGTTTGAAGGCCGTCACTGCCTGCCTAGCAGAAGAAAGTTAGAACATTTCCCTGGGACTTTGTTGGTTGAAAAGGGTGGTCCTCACACTGGTCGGGTGGGTCATGATCAAGGGTATTATCTTGAGAACCAGACCAACATGGGTGACTTTGGGCAAGGTAGATAAGCTCACTCAGGCTCCATTTCCTCCCTTGCAGACTTCTGTCCATCAAAGCAGCAGGTGATGAGGGGGTTCAGTGTTGCTTTTTTCTCCTTCTAAACACAACATAATACATTTTTCTTTGAAGTCAGTCAGGTGGAAAGGGCCAAAAACCACACAGGATACCTGATTTGGAATCTCTGTTAGAGTCACACGAACTTCAGGACCTCTGGCCATAAAACTTGCATGTCTCTGGTGAATAAATGAGGGTGAGCTTTGCTTTTCTGGAAGGGCTATTCTATAACTAGATCAGAGCAGTCTGACCATGGTGCACACAACCAATCACGTTCTCACCGCTTTTGTGGCCAATATTCATACCAGAGGCCTGAAGAGAATTGAAAGCCAGATGCTAAAGGGCATTCCAACACACCACTCCCACTGCGTGTTTGGCAAGCCAAAGAGATGGTCAGCCCACCGTCTGCCCCCGTCAAATGTTGACACAGTAAATGACAATGACTTTTGTATCTATGCTATCATATTACATCTAATCAGCATGGTCCTTCTTGATGGTAAAGTCATATGCTTCTCGAAGCACCAGGTAACAGACTAGTTAGTCCCTGATCACCAGGCCTCTGATTTCTAAGCCGTGGGGTGCATGCTGATGAGATAGAAATGCATGCCAACTTGCCTGAACAGGCAGAGCCAGGCTCCAGCCTGTGAGGGTACAGTCTGCCCCAGCCTTCACCTCCATTGACTGATCACCCCTCAGTCCTTCAGAGGCCCTGCTTCTATGCCAGAGCTTTCTAGATCTCAGCCTCCGCCCTGCTTAAATCTGCTCCCAGGGCAGGGTCTGCTTCACTCAGTATCATTAGCCTTCAGATATGGGTCACTTAGTGAGATATGGAATAAAGAGCCATCCAACACTCCAGAAAGATGGAGGAGTTTGCAGGGAAATTAAACAAGAGAGCTTCCTTTATCTAAAGCACACTTAAATCTCAGGCCATTTTAGACATAAACAGAATTTCCCTGTGCCATAGACTGGCTGTTCCCATCACAGATCCGAAGTTACAGTAAATCAAAAACGTCTTTCTGGAGTGCTGACCTCCAAACAGCAAGGGTATTAATGTTCACCACTTCTCCTCTCTTCTATTTGGCATTTATCCTGGACTTTCCTGTCTGGACTACATTGAAAATAACTTTCCAGGGAGCAATCAGAGGTCTTTGGGGCTTAAAAAAAAAAGGTTTATTTTCCTAACATTTACAGTTAAAGCTGCATCTCCAAGAACATAACCATAACAAAATAGACCCTGGAAATCCAGTTCTATCTCATTTGCCTCCAAAAGTAGAAGAATTTTGGTGGGAAGTGTGTTTTCCCCTACCTTCTCTCACAATCTGCTTCAAGCCTTGAAATGTTTCCCTGTTCAAAGTTCTACATTTAGTGCTTTATTTGTCATTCAAAACTATTTCAGTGTCTAACCTGTTCACACTAGTAAATGCAGGAGGAGAAACAAAGATGAATGTTTATATCCCTGTTCTGAAAGCACTTAGTATCAGATAGTAGATAGAAGTCAAACATAGAAGCGAAATATCTGGCTAGTTATTGAATAAGATGAAGATGTCAGTTTCATGGGAGAAGACTGCCAGAGTTCTGTGGAGTTCTCAGAGATGAGCAGAAGTTCATGTGTGGCTGGAGAAATCTGTACAAGCTTCTGGAAGGAGGGGCCCTACAAGGTAGTCCTTGAAGGATTATTAGGATATTAACCATTGGGGTGGCAGGGAGGGGTGCCACAGGGTGGGGTAACAATAGAGATTGGGTAGAAAGTTCAGAGTAGGTCAGAGAAGAGCAGGCAGTCTGGTTTGACCTTATCGTTGCTTGGGTTCAGGGAGCAGAGTAAGACTAAAAGAAGGCGGAGGCCAGGTCATGGTTATGACCCCTGTCCTGGATTCAGGACCCAACAGAGATTATTTGATGACTTCTAGGCAACGAAATCAGTCCTGAATATTCGTTGGAAGGACTGATGCTGAAGCTGAAACTCCAATACTTTGGCCACCTGATGCAAAGAACTGACTCATTGGAAAAGACCCTGATGCTGGGAAAGATTGAAGGTGGGAGGAGAAAGGGATGACAGAGGATGAGATGGTTGGATGGCATCACCGACTTGATGGACATGAGTTTGAGTAAGCTCTGGGAGTTGGTGATAGACAGGGAAGGCGTGCTGCAGTCCACAGGGTCGCAGAGTCGGACACGACTGAGCGACTGAACTGAACTGAGGCAATGCATGGCATGATCAGAGCAATACTTCTGGAATATCCCTTTAATGTCACATCGGACATCGATATCCTAGGAACAGCACCTGTGAAGGTGATTCTTGCACAAATATCCTGTTGAGAAGCACTCGAGAGAAATCTGTAAGGGAGTGAAGAAACTGGGGAAGAAGTGAGGCAAAGATGTGGCTTCAAGAGAAGTTTGACTTCATCCTGATCCCACAGGGAGCTCTGGAGTGTAAATTACACCGCAGCATTTGTCCTGCCCAGAAACCAGGGGCTAGGCTGTTAGACCTGTGTGTCAGCCAAGCCCTGGTCACAGACTGAGGTGAGGAAAGTGAAGAGAGAGAGGCATGTGACAAATCTCCCAGACATCTATGGGCAAAGTGGTTCCCAGCAGCTGGACAAATATTGGCTTGGCCAAAAAGTTCGTTCTGGTTTTTCTGTAAGTGACTGTAGAGAAATCCAAACACACTTTTTTGGCTAACCCAATACTTGAGGAAATTGGTGGTAGAAACAGGGATCAAGGGGTAGGGTGCTTGTCTGGGGATTGTTTGGGGATTGTTTGTTAGGTGATTGTTTGGGGAACAAGAATAAATAGAGACAGCTGAGATTTTGACTCCAGGTAGCTGGGAGATGAATGGTGACATTAGCAAAGGTAGGGTTGGGTCAAATGGGAACATGCCGGAGTCTTTAGGAACAGGCTTGCCTAGGAGTGGACCTTCTATGAGCCAGAGAATCAATGTGCAGAGAAGTAAGCAAGCATTTCTGGCAATTGCTGAGTCATCCTTTCATATGCTGGCTGTTTCTGGAACTCCTAGTAGATCCAGAAAATGTGAGAGTCCATGATTCCCTACCTGCCTAGTTTCTCTCTCATTCATTGCTTTTCCTCTCACTCCCCTTGTGTCTTTGGGTTCTCCCATTTTCCTTTCTTTCTATCCATAGCATTTTCTCCCTATCTCCTCCTTATGAGCCAAACGCAAACTTTCCACCATCTTTGACTACATTTTCTTGCCCCCAATCCAATCTGTTACCCATCCTATCCTTGTTTCTCCTGCCACTTCAGTCATCCAACAAATATTTATTGAGTTCCTAGTTTGTGTCAGGTGTCTGGATACAGAAGTGGGTAAAACAGAAAACCAAATCCTGCCTTTGGCATGCCTCCGTCACCACCACTATCACCATCACCATCATGCTTGTGGTTCCCATCCTTGGAACCGGATGCAGCGTCTCCCTGCCTCCAACCTGTGCTTTGTTCATTTTGGCTGATAACACACAGAATTGAAAAATTTTGATCATTCAAAAGAGAAACGGGGAAAATAATACAGAAGAGAAAAAAAAAACAGTAGAAAGGGGGAGAAGGACCTTGGCCCAGTATAACTATGGAGTTTCTTCCAGCTTACAAATCATATTCCTTTTGTTAAATCTTTTGTGTTTACATACAAAACTGGCTAATTGAGATGTAGGAGGCTTTCTTTTTCTTTGAATGCCACTGGAGGTATGGCAGTGCTAGGCAAAGTTATGGTCAACTTGTACTCATGGGGCGGAAGGGGGTGAGGGGATGGGGACTGGTAATGTAGTTCAGAAGCGAAGCACTATTCAGTATTTTAAAGGTGAAAACAAACTGGAGAGGAAGCAGATCACCCTCTGTATTATATGTCACCGTGGATTTCTCTGCTGCACAGAAGGCACCTAAGTTTAACACGTACATTTCACTGGGCTGACTACCCCTGTTCCTTTTAATTTCTTTATTGAAATATAGTTGATTTACAATGTTGTGTTGATTTCCGCCATACAACAAAGTGATTCAGTTATACATATATATTTGTATTCTTTTTTAATATTCTTTTCTATTATGGTTTATCACAGGATATTGAATATAGTTCCCTGTGCTCTACAGTAGGACCTTGTTGTTTATTCATCCTGTATATACTAGTTTGCATCTGCTACCCCCAAACTCCCAGTCCTGCCCTCTCTCATCCTCCCTTCCCGTTGGCAGCCACAAGTCTGTTGTCTATGTGTGTGAGTCCATTTCTATTTTGCGGATAAGTTTATATGTCTCAGATTTTAGATTCCACATGTAAGTGGTATCATAAGGTGTTTGTCTTTCTCTTTCTGACTTACTTCAATTATTATGATAATCTCTCTAGGTCCATCCATGTTGCTACAAATGGTATTTTATTCTTTTTATGGTTGAGTAATAGTCCATTGTATATATGTATCACATCTTTTTCATATGTTTACCTTTCAGTGAATATTTTGGTTATTTCCATGTCTTGGCCATTGTTGATAGTACATGTATGTATCTTTCTAAATTAAGTTTTTGTTCAGGTATATGCCCAACAGTGGGATTGCAACTCTATTTTAGCTTTTTGAGGAACTTCCATACTGTTCTTTCTCGTGGCTGCACCAATTTACATTCCTTACCAACAGTCTAGGAGGGTTCCCTTTCCTATATACTCTCTCCAGCATTTATTATTTGTAGACTTTTTGATGATGGCCATTCTGCCTGGTGTGAGATGATACCTCATTGTAGTTTTGATTTGCCCTTCTCTGATAATTAGCTGTGTTGAACATCTTTTCATATGCCTATTGGTTCCTATTTTTTAATCATCAAAATACCTTTTCTTTCCACAGCTATGTGTGAACCTGGGTGCAAGTTCGGTGAGTGTGTGGGACCAAACAAATGTAGATGCTTTCCAGGATACACCGGGAAAACCTGTAGTCAAGGTCAGTACTAGAGACCACGGTGGTAATACAGACCTACCCCAGAGCTTTCAGAATCAATTCAGGCTGTGCAGTGGTGTTTGGGACACAGCATAGCACTCAGGATTCTGCAGTTTGTAACTCCAATCTTCAAACGAAAGTGGTTTCAGAATGACATTTTTCGATCAGTCTCTTCTAGAAAAATGTCAAAGTCATTCTGATGCTTTTCTTAGGATGCCAGATAAAAAAACATTATTTTCCCTCAAAACAAATAATGTGTATTGTTTTTTTAAGCTAAGGAAGAAATGCATATATTTTATTTAAGAAAATGCAACAAAACAAAAGGATATAAATTAAAAAGTGAGTGTGAACATCCACAATCCATCCTCCACCCGTAGCTAAGAGTTAATCTCTGCAGTTTCTTTTCTGTTATAGTTACAAATATGAATATTTCTCATGGGCATTTCTGCATGTCAGCACACAGAGAGCTGTCTCATATTTTTTAAGGCTCTATCCTAGTTCCGCGAGCAAATGCTTGTGTCATTTATGTAAAAATACTTTAACCACTATTATAGAAGTTGTCCCCAACTTTTTGCCATTACAAATAGCACTGTATCAGTCATTATCCTATGCATATCCTTGCACCTTTGAGTATTTTTATAGGGTAAATATCTAAAAATGGAATTGTTGGGTTGAATGACATGCATATTTTTATTGCAATTGATATATTTTAAAGGGCACTTTATGATTTTTGTCATAGGCTGTTTATCTGAAGATACTAAAGCAGTTATAATATTAAGAACAGTGGTTCTGAAGGTGGGCAGTTTTGTCCCCTAGGAAGACTTGCCAGATAAAATACATATCCCTAGTTAGATTTAAATCTTATTTTCAAATGCAATTTCACATAAACAACAAATAATTTTATATAGTGTATTTATGTTGCAAATGTTGTATGGGACATATGTACACTGAACAAATATTAGTCATTTTTCCAAAATTCACATTTACCCAGGCATCCTGTATTTTTATTTGATAAATCTGGAAGTCTGACCCCCGAGGTCATCTGGTGGTGCCTGGAGACATTCTGGTGGGTAGAGCCCAGCTGAACATCTATAGTGCACAGGGCAGCCCCCCGCTAAGGATGATCTGGCCCCAGATCTCCACAGTGTGGAGGAGCCCAGGCACCAAGAAACCTGTGCTAATTAAGAAAGGGTCCCCAGTTCTATGACACAGTTAAGCAAAGAGCAGCAAATCCAGCTCAGCTGCCCTTAGGAATGAGCCCTGCGAGGGTTCTAGAAGGGAGAATGGAATTCCAGAGAAAGCCAGGGGTCTGCCCCACTCTGCCGCACCCCCCGCCCCCACCAACCTAACTGCCAAGGCCAGATGCTCACATAGCCTTTCTTTGTGCTGGCAGACCTGCAGGCTGAGGGAGGACCCTCTAGCTCTCCTGTCCTGACCCCAGGACGGGGGCCAGCACCGCCAAGGGGCTCCTCAGAACCGTGTCCAGAAGGCTTGAGGGAAGCGCGGCAGGAGCCCTGCCCTCATAAGTAATAATTCAACCATGTCCCTTACCAGAGCGTTTCCCACCAGAAGACCTGTTTTTCCATATGTCTTGGATTCTGTACCAAGATCCCTTCTCAAGAGAGTTGGAATGGAGAAGGTATTTTTTCATGCTGCTTTTCAAGTCCCGGCAAAATATTCACTTTGAGGAAGTGTCCAGTTGGCTCAGATGTGGGCCTGTCTGGCTTTTCCCCACAGCCTCCCTGCCCCAGGGCTGCCTAATCAAAGTCCATGTATATCCACTGATGGCCACAGGCCTCAACCCAACTGATGTCTTTCCCCAAAATGCTTCTTCCAAGAGATGCCTCTGACTTAGGGCCAAGTGATGGAATATCCCTGGCTTTCCTGTTATGTCCAACCAGCATCATTTAATTCATGCCTTTGAAGCAGTTAGGATCCAGACAGGAGATGGTAGTGTACAGGGGACTGGCGATGGAGAAGGGGGTTCAGGTGTCCAGCTAAGGTGTTGGAAAATCTCCACGTAAGGTTCTTTTCAGAGGTGAAGCAGCCACTTACTTATTTTCCAGAGTGGCCTTTGCCTGTTACTATGCTGAATTTTGATCTTACATGGAATTTGGTTCTTTTCTCCTTTCTATATCTGCCTTGAAGGAGTTACGACATGTGGCACCCACATCACCACGTACCCAAAGACGAAACCCATGATGGCTTTACAAGTTTTTTTTTCTTATGTATCATTTTTTATTTTAATAAAAGCTAATTCATTCTTAATGTTTCACGTTTTAAACCCTGAAAAGCTCAGAGAAGAAAGTCCCTCTCAATCTTCCCAGGAGGTAGCCATTATAAATGTGTAGAGCCTGGTCTCCCAAGGTTTTTTATTTCTGCCTGTGCCACATGGCTTGCAGGATCTTAGTTGCCCGACCAGTGGACCTCAGCTGTGAAAATGCTGAGTTTTAACCACTGGAATGCTAGGGAATTTCCCTAGGTGTTTTTTCCTATGCTTATTTTTAAAATGTGGTATCTATATACATATTTTTGTAACCTTCTTGTGTAACAGCATCCTCTGAGCACCTTTATGTGGGATTAAATATTGTCCTGTGACCTGACTTCCAGTAATAGCTGCCTGGCAGGGCTCCCTCAGGAAAGATGTGAGACAAGGCTATTTGGCCAGCATGAGACCGCTCAGAATAATAATTGAAAGGAGATTGTGCGGTTGGCATCTATCATAGGGTACCTGGGACAGCATTAAAGGCAGCAGTATCTAGATGATAGGTTTTAACTTTTTATTCAAGTAGGAAACACACTAAATTGTACACCTGTCAACAATGTACAACTCCATGAATGTTCAAGAACACCCATGTAGCCGGCATTCAGATCCAGAAATGGAAACTTAGCCTCTCCTGAAGACCCCTCATGCTCCCTTCCATCACTTGCCCCCAGCCCCCAACACGGAACTGTACCTTGTCTCTCACACCACAGAGTCATTGGCCTGGATTTGTTTTGCTTCTTTCACTCATGCCTGGGTTTCAGTGTGTTCATTTGTGTCCAGCTTCTCCCAGTCAATATCATGTTTGTGAGTTTCATCCACAGTTGTTTGTACTTGTGGTTTGTTCAGTCTCACTACTGCATAGTATTCTATTGCATGAGTATACAAGTCATTTATCCATCCTTTTGGGAGGAGAGATTTGGATTCTTTCTGGTTTGAGGCAGTTCAGAATAGTGCTACTGTGATCATTTTAGTATGTGATTTTTTGGTGGTTTAGTTGCTCAGTCGTGTCCAACTCTTTGCAACCCCATGGACTGTATAGCCCGCCAGGCTCCTCTGTCCGTGGGATTCTCCAGGCAAGAATACTGGAGTGGGTTGCCATTCCTTCTCCAGGGGACCTTCCCAACCCAGGGATTGAACCCAGGTCTCCTGCTGGATTCTTTACTGACTGAGCCACCAGGGAAGCCACTATGGGCATGTACCCATGTTTCTGTTGGACATTCGCCCAGGAGTGGAATGGCTGGCTCATGAGTATGTCTGTGTCTAGCTGCCACACAGTTTCCCAGAGTGGTTGTACCTATATTTGCATTCCATCCAGCAGTGTATGATGATTCAGTTTGCTCCACATCCTCACCAATGCCTTAATGATGGTCGGAGAAGAGGCGAGTCACCACCCTTTGAACCTACCCCCACAGCTGGGGTCCAGGGAGGCCAACCCCCTTCCACATCTGGGTGTTTCCTCCTTCAGTTCACCTTTCTCCATTTTCTGACTGCCCCCGCAGATGTGAATGAGTGTGGATTCAAACCCCGGCCGTGCCAACACAGATGTGTGAATACACACGGTAGCTACAAGTGCTTTTGCCCCAGCGGCCACATGCTCCTGCCGGACGCCACATGTTCCAGTAAGTTTCAGCAGCTGGTCTGCTCTCAGTCAACCCAGAGCCTTGACTTTTGCCATTTAATGCTTGGGGCAAAGTTGACTTGAGTTATTGGAGGGGAAAATCCCCCACCCCAAAGACACTCACATCACCCTAGACTAAAATATCTTTGCGCACTTATTTTTTTCAATTTATTTATTTTTTAATTGAATGATAATTGCTTTACACAATTGTATTGGTTTCTGCCAAACATCAACACAAATCATCCATATGTATATGTCCCTTCCCTCTAGGACTTATTTTTAATTGTATCAAAATACATATATTGTGCAATTCACCATTTTGACAATTTTAAGTGTACAATTCAGGCATTTTGTACATTCACAATGTTGTGCAAAACATCACCACTCTCCAGAATATATCCATCACCCCAAAAGGAAACCCTGTCCCCATTAGCAGTCACTCTCCACTCATCTCCTCCACCCCAGCCCTGCATTCTGTCTCTCTGGATTTGCTTGTTCTGGCCATGTCGTTTTTAAATAAAAAGACTAACTGAGGAGAAAGATAAATTGAGTATCTCTCTATATACAGGGATGAACTAGGATTCTTCATGAAAAAAATAAGCATACTGAAAATATAAGCATATTGTTTCAGGAAGGTGATAAATCTCAGTTCCATCTCAGGACATCAGTTCTTCCCACCAGCTCCCTTTCTCACGCCCCTTGCCCCACACTCAAAGATTAGTGACTCTTGTTGGAAGTCCATTCCAGTTCACATTCCTGAAAAGAAAAGCCCTTCTCTGATAAAGAGAACCCATGTCCTGTGGGAGCCTAAATGTCTATATCTGTTCACTTATTGAGAAGGAAGGCTTTTCAGGTTTTATGTTGCAGCTGAAAAGCAAATCCATCCACCCTGCCGCCCCCAACAAGCCTGCAGCTTGTGCCTTCTGCCAGCTTCCCATGGTTGCAGGGTCCTCTGACTCCCCAGCCTATCCTGGGCTCTCCCTCGGTTGTAAAATCCAGGCTCATGCATAGCTCGCTTCCCCCACCCCGCCTCATCCTTTAGCTGCTCACCCCACTTGGCAAAGTGCCCCAACACCACTACAGTCTCCATTAGCAAGCATGCTTAAGAGATAAAGCAGGCATTCAGTCTTTTTTTTAAGTATTTTAAAAAATATTTATTATAAATTAAACAGAAATCCCCAAGAAACAAATACGTAGCTTAATGAATTCTTATAAAGCCAGCATCCATGTAACCACTACCAAATAGAACTTTGCCAGAGCTACCCCCTTCACCCCCCCAGCCCCTTCGGAACAATTGTCCAGAGTTTTCTAGTCATCACTTAACATTTTTAAAAAGATATATGCTAGTGGATGTTTCTGAAACATTCCACAAGAGCCTAATTAGTGCCAAAAAAGATATCTTTCTCCAAATGGAAGGATAAAATGAGATAAATTTTGAAGATTAATTTTGAAAGAAGACAACTCAAGAGAAAAGGGATAAACTAGAAATATAACCATTGGTCAGTGTTTGCTATATTACCGTGGCCTGTGTGTCTGTCCTGGTACCCTCTTTGTCTATTACCATACATGTGAGGGTTGCCTCTGCCTCCCTGTTTATAGCTTACAGTGACCAGGTGGCCCTGAATGCTGATTTTATTTATCCAGCCCTTTGCAGCCTCTTTTGTCCAGCTGGTTGACTGGCATGTTACAGATGCGGGTGGATAAAGAGAGGATATTCACTGTGCTCCCCTGTTATAGGCACTTTTGATCCATATATACCGGAACCCTACTAGGGATATGTGTTTTTGTGAGACAAGGTCTATTTAGCAATGAGTGACAGAAAAATTGAACTAAATTATCTTTATTTTGAAAAGCTGGAGGCAAGCAGTTCCAGAACAGGTCAGCAAGGACTCAGCCTCTGCCATCTTCAGGATATTGATTTCATCCTCATGTTTGTGGCCTTGTGGTCACAATATGGCTGCCCTAGCTCCAGATATCATACACACATCAAAAGTAGGCAAGACAGAAGGGAAAGGAGTGATGCCAGGAAACAAACGCCTCTTTTATGTCCATCCATCTTGTCATGCAGCAGCATCTTTTCCAGAAACTCCAGCAGACTTATCTTAATATCTCTTTGGCTATAACTGAATCATATGGCCACTCCCTTGTTGATGCAGGGGAAGCTAGGAAAAAGATGTGTAACTGGCTTTTCAGCCTCAGTAATGGGAATGGCTTTTGGGTAGCTGATCAGCCTTATCTGCTGCATGTTTTAATACACGCACCTTAAAGACAAGGTTTTGTGATTTGAGTGACTCTCACTGAGGCTAGATATGAATAGAGAGATGGATAGAATTGGCATTTTTTACCCTATTTATTCAAATGAATCATCTTCCTCAGAGGTTGCATTTCAACCAATAGTAGAGACCAACCAGGTGACGTGAAGGGGATTGGAGCTTGTATAGGAAGAGAGAGAGATGCCGTCTTTGGTGACTGAGGGGTGCATGCTCTGCCTAAAGACAGTCAAGTGCAATGCATTGGCCAACAGAATCAACCATGGGGCCATCAAGACACCACCCCTGCACAGATTCCGTTTGGATCTCCATCTGGGACTCAGATGATGAAGCTTATCCTCTGATACCATTCCATGTGTTACATTTCATGTCTCAGGGGTCAGGGATTGTTCCTTAGTGAGCATTTTTTAATCATCTCTTGGGGAAAAGGCTGACCCGTGCCTCTTTTTGCAGACTCTAGGACGTGTGCCATGACCAACTGCCAGTACAGCTGTAAAGACACGGAAGAGGGGCCGCGCTGTCTGTGTCCCTCCCCAGGCCTCCGCTTGGCCCCCAATGGAAGAGCTTGTCTAGGTAGAGTATCCGGGGTCACCTCCTCCCCTGACTTCTCCTTTTATTCCATTCCTCCTTTTTCATCCGTCACAGCCTACTTGTTGACTAGACATTGAAAGTTCCTGAAATGACAGATTTATGTCCATTTCCATGACAACATTTATAGCACATATATTCTAAACACACTTTGCCATGCTAGAGAAAACACTTCTCTATAATTTGTTGGGTTGCCTGATGCCATAATGGAAAAAGATATAAGTAATTTTATTTTTGTATATTTACCCTGCACTTTTTGCTTCAACTACCAAGTTGTATATACTCTTAGTGTATTTAACTATATTGCACTAGAGATAGATAATATTATGACCAAGTTAACACATAGCATTAATATGGGATGTCAAACCAAACAGAATGTTGAAAGAGTTCTTAATCTTTTTTGATGGAAGCAAGCAAATAGCACTATGATTTAATATTCTAACTTCTGGACTACAATAGAAGTAGATTTTTCATTTGAGGTGGTTGGTGCTTATTTACCCTAAATGTATTGATACATAACTTGATAAACCACATTTAGAAAGCTCACCCAAGGGATGTGGGAGGGGTGATCGGGATGGGGAATACATGTAACTCCATGGCTGATTCATGTCAATGTATGACAAAACCCACTGAAATGTTGTGAAGTAATTAGCCTCCAACTAATAAAAATAAATGAAAAAAAGATTTAAAAAATAAAAAAAACAAGGTACTTAAGAATAAATTTAACAAAAGAAGAAAAAAAAAAAAGAAAGCTCACCCAAATAGATCCTAAATCAGTTAACCACTTTAATAAGAAGTCTGTATAAATTAAAAATTTGGTTCTGCTCTTTGAGAGCAGGCAAATATTTAATTCAGTTCACAGGGTTTAGTGCTCTTCAGTAAAATCAGATTTATGTCAAGGCTAATTCTTGGCCAAATGAATCCAAGTGTTCACATGCCTCTTTGATTTGTCAAGTGCCATTTTTATTGGAGGAGAAACTTGATGTATATGAAAGTAATCCCTGAAAAATAATTTTGGTCAATCCAACACTTACTTGTTAATTATATCAAGAATGCAAAAAGAACAATAAGCCAGCCCCAAGTTTCATGTTTAACCACTGTTACAAAATAATGATGGTTCCAAATTTACTTGATTTGACATCTGAAAGTTAAGGCAAAGTCTGAGTCTTAATGGTTTGGTCTGCATAGTTGTCGGCCCCCCTGTGATGTGACTTTCCATGGTAGTAAAGGAAGGAAGCCTCTTGTCTCCTAAGTTGCATCATGGCTTTATGCCACTTGACCCACAATTTATGTATCAGTACGTTCTTTAAAAACCATGTTTCTGTGATTTGGAACAATATGAAAGGATTTGGAGGCAGTTGCTAACGAAATAATTCTTTTGTGAAATGCAAGCTTTGAATGTTTGTGTATTAGGTTTGCCATGCAATATCCATAGCTGGAATAATATTAATTCCTTCAGCAAAACGGAGTGTCTGTGTACCAAGTGCCAAGTTCCCTGCCTCAGAAAAGGCCAGGCCTAATGAGAGAGAAAATGTGCATATAAGTAATGCCATTACAGCAAGATAATACCTCTAAAATACTGTGTATAAAGTGATAGAAATCCAGTGAATGTGCCTCGGGGATCCAGAACTCTTCCCGGAGGATAGGACTTTGGTAGCAAAATAATCAGAGTTTTCCAGTGAAGAAACCACACGTGCGTGTGTGCACTGTGTGCTCTGGGTGCGGGCATCAGAGTGTTTGAGGGAGGGTGCTTTCTTGGTGTGTCTGACATGTCCTGGTTCTCCATCCTAGACATCGATGAATGTGTCTCTGATAAAGCCTTCTGCCCCTACAATCGAAGATGTGTGAACACATTTGGAAGCTACTATTGCAAATGTCATGTTGGTTTTGAACTGAAATATATCAATGGCTGGTACGACTGTGTAGGTAAGAAACCTATAGGCTTTCTCTACAGATATTGAGACATCAGTTCTATTAGTTGAACCATCTACTGTACTGACCAGCTTAACAACACAGAGAAAGTAATATTTTTTTTAAATTTTTGTCATTTGGGAACTCTGATGACATGAATTACATGAAGCCAGGTTTGTCAAAGTTTAAAGTAAAGAATAGCAGTCTCTGTAGCTCTATTTTGGAGATAAATAGCTTGAGATGATTTTTGTGGGTTTTTTGAAAAAAAATTATTGGTTTTGTTTTGTTGATATTTTTGATTCTATCTCCAGGTATAGCTAAAAGTGCTAAGTTACTTCAGTTGTGTCCGACTCTTTGTGACCCTATGGACCGTAGCCCTCCAGGCTCCTCTGTCCATGGAATTCTCCAGGCAAAAATACTGGAGTGGGTCGCCATTTCCTCCTCCAAGGGATCTTCCTGACCCAGGGATGGAACCTGCATCTCTTATGTCTCCTGCATTGGCAGGAGGCTTCTTTACCACTAGTACCACCTGGGAAGCCCTAAAAATGAGGACAGTGAAGCATATTTATATTTGATAAAAGGAGGAATACCAAGTCCTGCTTAATCTTGATCTCAGTGGCCCTTGCCTAAGTCTACATCAGGAGTGGCTTTAGAAAAATGAATGAAGGAGGTGCGATGTGCTCTTTCCTCACTCCTCCTTCAACCCTTCCATGGTTCCAGCTCTATGTCCCCTAAAATGTTCACTTTCTGGGGTCATCAAGATCACTCTATGATAAGACTAAGATATCACTCAGCTTTCAGCCCTATATGGGTGAAATCAGAGATCCTGTCCCTTAGGGAAGGAATTCCAAGCCTCAATGAGCAAGTGAAGTGGGGTATTTGGGGAGCCCTTGGACGGCTTTCCATTGCCCTTGATAGAGCATGGATGGGGTTGGTCCCGCAGACATCTCGTCCCCCTGGAGTGTCCTGTTTACATGATGTGCACATGACAGACATGTGTGCGTAACACGGAAAGCTAACAGCAGCAGGGAAAGTAGGATTTCTTTCCACCCCAAGCTCAGAGCTGACCAGGACGTGTCCTGTGTAATCGTGTTGGGGTAGTATCCATTCCTGGATTTTGAACACATCATATGAAGCCTCCATAGCTCTTCCCTCAAGCCTAAAGGCCATCCTAATCCGGCTTGTAAAATCCTCACTTCTTGTGAGCTGGGATCCTCTAAGCTGCTCCAGACCCCACCATCTCTGGGGTCCATCTCCAGGCTGTGTCACAGAGCTGGAGCCTGTTTCCTGAGACCTAGAGGGAGATGCCACAGGACAGGGGGTTAGTCCACATGGGGAACTGTCAAAGGAAGCAAACCTTTGTGATTTAAGAAGTGATTAAGATCCCCCCCATGGAAAAAAATGCAAAAAGGCAAAATGGTTGTCTGGAGGAAGCCTTAAAAATAGCTGTGAAAAGAGAGAAGCGAAAAGCAAAGGAAAAAAGGAAAGATATACCCATTGAATGCAGAGTTCCAAAGAATAGCAAGGAGAGATAAGAAAGCCTTCCTCAGCGATCAGTGCAAAGAAATAGAGGAAAACAACAGAATGGGAAAGACTAGAGATCTCTTCAAGAAAATTAGATACCAAGGGAACATTTCAGGCAAAGATGGGTTCGATAAGGGACAGAAATGGTATGGACATAACAGAAGCGGAAGATATTAAGAAGAGGTGGCAAGAATACACAGAAGAACTGTACAAAAAAAGATCTTCATGAGCCAGATAATCACAATGGTGTGACCTAGAGCCAGACACCCTGGAATGTGAAGTCAAGTGGCCTTAGAATGCATCACTACGAACAAAGCTAGTGGATGTGATGTAATTCCAGTTGAGCTATTTCAAATCCTGAAAGATGATGCTGTGAAAGTGCTGCACTCAATATGCCAGCACATTTGGAAAACTCAGCAGTGTCACAGGACTGGAAAAGGTCAGTTTTCATTCCAATCCCTACGAAAGGAAATCCCAAAGAATGCTCAAACTACCGCACAATTGCACTCATCTCACACACTAGTAAAGTAATGCTCAAAATTCTCCAAGCCAGGCTTCAGCAATACGTGAACCGAGAACTTCCAGGTGTTCAAGCTGATTTTAGAAAAGGCAGAGGAACCAGAGATCAAATTGTCAATATCCGCTGAATCATCGAAAAAGCAAGAGAGTTCCAGAAAAACATCTATTTCTGCTTCATTGACTATGCCAAAGCCTTCGACTGTGTGGATCACAATAAACTGTGGAAAATTCTGCAGGAGATGGGAATACCAGACCACCTGACCTGCCTCTTGAGAAACCTGTATGCAGGTCAGGAAGCAACAGTTAGACCTGGACATGGAACAACAGACTGGTTCCAAATAGGAAAAGGAGTACGTCAAGGCTGTATATTGTCACCCTGCTAATTTAACTTACAGGCAGAGTACTTCATGAGAAATGCTGGGTTGGAAGAAGCACAAGCTGGAATCAAGATTGCTGGGAGAAATATCAATAACCTCAGATATGCAGATGACACCACCCTTATGGCAGAGAGTGAAGAGCAACTGAAAAGCCTCTTGATGAAAGTGAAAGAGGAGAGTGAAAAGTTGGCTTAAAGCTCAACATTCAGAAAACGAAGATCATGGCATCTGGTCCCATCACTTCATGGGAAACAGATGGGGAAACAGTGTAAACAGTGACTGATTAATTTTTTGGGGCTCAAAATCACTGCCGATGGTGACTGCAGCCATGAAATTAATAGACGCTTACTCCTTGGAAAGAAAGTTATGACCAACCTAGTTAGCATATTAAAAAGCAGAGACATTACTTTGCTAACAAGGGTCCGTCTGGTCAAGGCTATGGTTTTTCCAGTGGTCATGTATGGATGTGAGAGTTGCACTGTGAAGAAAGCTGAGTGCCGAAAAATTGATGCTTCTGAACTGTGGTATTGGAGAAGACTCTTGAGAGTCCCTTGGACTGCAAGGAGATCCAACCAGTACATCCTAAAGGAGATAAGTCCTGGGTGTTCATTGGAAGGACCGATGCTGAAGCTGAAACTCCAATACTTTGGCCATCTCATGCAAAGAGTTGACTCATTTGAAAAGACCCTGATGCTGGGAGGGATTGGGGGCAGGAGGAGAAGGGAACGACAGAGGATGAGATGGCTGGATGGCATCACCGACTCGATGGACATGAGTTTGAGTAAACTCCGGGAGTTGGTGATGGACAGGGAGGCCTGGGGTCCTGCGATTCATGGGGTCGCAGAGTCAGACACGACTGAGCGACTGAACTGAACTGAACTGAACTGAACTAAGATCAGCACCTGAGCCCCCTTGTGGCAGAGTTAAAAACAATAGTAGGGGACCTCCCTGGCAGTCCCGTGGTTAAGACTGCACTTCACGTGCAGGGTGGCCCAGATTCGATCCCTGGTCAGGTAGCTAGGATCCCACATGCCACGTGGCACGGCCATAAAGAAATTAATTAATTAAACAAGCAAACAATAGCCTGTTTTGTGTGCATATTCTCCAGGCAAGAATACTGGTTTGCCATTTCCTTCTCCAGGGATCTTCCCAACCCAAGAATCTAACCCATGTCTCCTGCATTGGCAGGTGGGTTCTTTACCACAAGTGCCACATGGGAAGCCCTCGAGAAGTATAGAAAAAAAGTGGGAGGGAAAAGAAGGCCAACGAAGCTGTCACATGGGTGGAATTCAGTAAACTTTCTGAGTCTAAACCCAACAGACGAGCTCAGACCGGCCTGACCCCTGCTCCTGGCAGCCTATGAAGAAAAGGTTCACATTTTTCAGATGATGTCAGTGCTTCCTAGTGCATCTTGTTCTTTGTGGACTAGGAGTCCCAAGCCCTTCCATGTACAGAATTTACTTTCTGATATTGTTATTTAGTGGTAAGTTTGGCAGATGACAATGTTAAGCAACCAAGCCCAAACAGCTTCAAGATGTCAGTAGCATTGATAAGCCGGAGAGGCAGTTGCTGTGGGGGAGGTGGTGGGCAGCAAGCAAAGCCAGGGCTTTGGGCCAAGGCACCAGGCATCCTTAGTGCTTCTCAGTTCCCCGGCCACACAGGGTTCGCTGGCTGGGTAGAGTGGTTGGCCCTGGAGTTACTCAAGTTCTGGGGATAGTCTTTCAGCAAGTGCTGTTACCACAGGATGATTCATGGGACTGTTCACATTTTCAGATATAAACGAATGCGCTGCGAATACACACACATGCAGCCTCCATGCCAATTGCCTCAATACCCAGGGATCCTTCACGTGCAAGTGCAATCAGGGGTATAAAGGCAGCGGACTGCAGTGTGCCCGTAAGTACACTTGGCCACGGTATCTTCGCTCTTCCCTATAAAGCATTCACGCCTTGTCTCCTTCCTCCCTTCCTTCTCCACACGTCCAGTTCTCACAGAAGTTGTAGGCACTGCACTTAAAGTACTGCAAGGGTTCTGAAGGGTCTTCTGCTCACGACATGTTTTCAAATACTGAAAATAAGATTTGAGGACAATGACACTGAGCAAATGTATCAGTCAGGAGAGGCTCAGTTATGGGGCAATAACAAACAGTCCTGAAGTATCAGTGGCTTAGAACCAGAGAAGGTTTTTAACCATGTGAGTCAGGACTTTTTTCAGAACGTACACCTGAAAAAAAAGTACGATGAAGCTAACCTCCCTTTGTCATCCTCCTCAAGCCTCTATAAACTTTTTTTTTTTTTTGATGTAGAGTCAAGTCCCATGGTTTTTGCTGATGAATTCTTTAATGCTCAGCAGGTAAACTCTGATACACTCAATGTATAATAAGAAAACATCACTGTGTCAAAAGCTGCAACAATAATCACAGTTTCTTTTGCCACTTGTGCTATACCCAGAGAGAGTTGTCAGGGCGTTTCTTGTCCACATTGTCACTTAGGAATGCCGGCTGACAGAGGTCCCACTGTCTTATGGTACCATGGTGTCAATCCAAGGCTGAGGGTTCTTCAGAGCAGTTAAAGAAGTGTGGACAATCTGATTAAGCTTGGAAGCAGGGGAGAAAATATATCTAATCCTGTCATGCATCCTGAAAGAGAAGAAAACTGGAAATCATGGTGAGCACCCTGAATGTCTTCCAAGACCAGCCAGCAAAGATTACAGGACGGTCATGTGCCTGACCAACCATGTCCCACTCTGTTTAGTCACCTGGGCTTATCCTCTGATCATGTCCCTTTTAGCATTGGCTCATTGTGTGTCAAGACTCGATGGCCACCCTGACTCTGCTCTCTCATAGATGCCTTAGGAGCATGGCCACATATTCCAATAAATATGGCTGTAAGTCGTCCCTTGACCTGTATCTCATCCTGTACCCCCACCTGGCTGATAATTCTGATGACAACAGAGCCAAACTCAGTGATGGCAAAAATAAACAGTCCACACACCATGATGGACTCTGAGCACCACACTCATAAAAGATTCATCATACCCCAGCGGCACTGGATGAGATGATGTACAGAAGAGTATAAGCAAAGAAGATGAGTCTGGAAATCACATTCCTTGAAGAACTGCCAAAATAACTGGGCAGTGTTTAACCTGGAAGAAAAAAGAAAAAAAAAGTGTGGAAAAGCAGACATAGTGCCTGTCAATATTTTGAGGAATGTAAAGTAAAAAAGCTAACTCACTGGAAAAGACCCTGATGCTGGGAAAGATTGAAGGCAGGAGGAGAAGGGGATGACAGAGGATTAGGTAGATAGATGGCATCACTGACTCAATGGACATGGGTTTGAGCAAACTCCAGGAGTTGGTGATCGACAGCGAGGCCTGGTGTGCTGCAGTCCATGGGGTCACAAAGAGTCGGACACGACTGAATGACTGAACAGCAACAAAAGTAAAAGTGCCTTCCCATAGCCAAAGTAGGCCAAGGGCGGGATTGCATTCTCTCTGACAAATTTCCCCATCAGGGGTCTCAGAGTGAAGAAAATCTGTGGAGTGGGAACCATGGCTTCCAGGAGGGCCCCTGCCTTGGGCTGGAGATGGGATTCAGCAACTCCTCGGTCTCCAATAGCTTGTTGCTGTGGTTTCCGTCCCTCTGTGTAGACGTGCCCATGGTGTCCTTCTGAAACTTTATTCAAAGAAAGACTGAGAGACTGGCTTCCTATGCAGGGATGTGCATGGGTAGGTGGGATGGTGGGAAAGATACCATAATTTTGAAAGACCTGCAGAGAAGAGATGGAATCAGTACACTTTCCACACAGGATCAGTGGTCAAGGGCTCCTTCATGCCACCAACTTTGCACATGTCCATTCTGGCCTTGCTGGTCTCAGGTCATCTGGTCGACAGCCCAGCTTAGGGCTAGGAAGGCCTGAATTTGAATCTGAGCTGTACCCCGTATTGCCTGTGGTTTTTCGCCAGGTGCTTCACCTCTCTAAACTCCGTGTCTTTCTCTCTGAAATGGGCCCCATGGTGGTCCTTTAGCGAGTCCTCAGAAGGGGCCAGGCCACCATCCCTCGGAGACCCTTGACTTCAGTGAGGTGGGGGACAGTTCTGTGCATGTCCCAAGCCCCAGTGCAGTGGACTCTCTCTGCGTTGTGGCCTTGCAGCTTCCCCCTGGAGCTAAACCCCCAAGTTCTCACACCCAGGGACAGTCAGTCCTCAAGCCGTGAGGGCCAAGGGTCTACACCTCAATCCCCCAGCCTCCCCTGTGCAGCGGGCCAACTCTGAGGCGGGTTCTATGCTGGTCCCCAGATATCCCTCATCACCCACTTGATTACCTGTCCATTGAGGCACCATTTTCGACTCTCCTCCCTTCCTGTCTCACTGTCCCTCTTACCCCTCTTCCGCCTCCTGGAATCACCTGTTAAGTAAACCACCAGCATCCCAATCTTTTTCTTGGGTTATGTTTGGGGGCCCCCACATTCCTCCCAATACCTCTCTCATAGGTTCATTGAGATTTGAATGAGGTAGTATAGATAGAGGGCTTAGTTCAGCCGGGCACATAGTAGATGATCAATAAAGTTAGCTCTGGCTCAGACTGTTATTAGCAGTTTCAATCATATTCATTAAGGTCTAGCTCCTCCTGACTCTGAAATCCTGTAAAAGCAAATGCAGAAAAATGCTGTGCATAGAAAAAAAAAGATGCACTGGGAAAATACTTGTGTCAGTAAGGCAGCAACTCACCTCACTTCCACGTACTCATCCCTGCCCCCCAGACCAAAGAATCACAGAGATTAGGAAGAACTGGCCAAAACAGGCCTGGAGTGCTCTTCCTTCTTAATCACTTGCTCCCTCTTGAAACCGCAGTGTGTCGTCAACGTCCAAATGAAGGCACCGTTTGTAAGCGTGCCAGTGGGTAGCTGTTTGCAACCTATGTTTTTGTTATTGTAGCCCAGTGTTTAGAGATTATAAATCCCACATCAACCCAAACAGTTTTTAAATTTTATTGAAGTATAATTTGTGTACAATGTTGTGTTAGTTGCAGGTGTACCGCAAAGTGACTCAGACATATATATACATACACACACACATATATACATACACACACACACACATTCTTTTTCAGATTCTTTGCCCATATAGGTTATTACAGAATACTGAGTAGAGTTCCTTGTGCTACGCAGTAGGTCTTTGTTGTTCATATATGTTATATATAGTAGTGAGTATGTGTTAATCCCAGCCTCCTAATTTATCCACCCCTCTGCCTTTCCCCTTTGATAACCATAGATTTGTTTTTGAAATATGTGAGTCTGTTTCTGTTTTGTAAATAAGTTCATTTGTATCACTTTTTAAAGTTAGATTCCATGTATAAGTAATATCATATGAAATTTGTCTTTCCCTATGTTACTGACTTCACTTAGTCTGATCATCTCTTGGTCCATCCATGTGGTGCAAATAGCATTGTTTTTTTCTTTTTATGGCTGAGTAATATCCCATTGTATATATGTGCTACATCTTTATCCATTCCTCTGTTGCTGGGCATTTAGGTTGTTTTCATGTCTTGGCTGTTGTAAATAGTGCTACGAGCATAGCAGTGCATGTATCTTTTGAATTAGAGTTTTCTCGGGACACATGCCCAGGAGTGGGATCGCTGGATCATGTGGTAGTTCTCTTTTTAGTTTTTTAAGTACTCTCCATTCTGTTCTTCACAGTGGCTGTATCAATTTACATTCCCACCAACAGTGCAGGAGACTTCCCTTCCCTCCACACCCTCTCCAGCATTTACTGTTTGGGGACTTTTTGATGATGGCCATTCTGACTGGTATGAGGTGATAGCTCATTGTAGTTTTGATTGCCTTTCTCTGATAATTAGTGATGCTGAGCATTTTCTCTTGTGGTTTTTGGCCATCTGTATGTCTTCTTTGAAGAAATGTCCATTTTTCTGATTGGCTTGTTTTTTTGACATAGAGTTGCATGAGCTGTTTGTTATTTTGGTCAACCTAAACATTTCTTATGCTAAGAAAACTTTTTTTTTTCCTTTGATCATCCAGCTCTAAGCTTATTTAGGGGAGTAGTTTAAAACAAAGTTTTCTTGCTTCTTCAAAACCTCAAACTCTTCACAATGTTCTTTTTGATATCTGAAAAATCATCCATTTTGTTACTATCCATTCTGCAGCAGAATCATTTCTCTAGTCTTTTGCCAAAATGTTTATTTACAAGAGAAAACTATCTTCAGGTCGCTCACTATGTTATTTGCCCAGTCCTTTCCATTCTGCTTTGATTGATTCTCTGTAAAATAAACAGCCATGTCTCTTTTGAAAATTGATCTTAACTTCTTAACACACATTGCTGAAAGCATGGCCAAAATCCACCCTTATATGCAAAGAAAAATCATAGAAAAAATTAGAGAATCACATCTAATTAGTGTTCAGCATTATAAAATGCTGTGTTGTAAAATACATTTGTATCCATGTGAACTGCTTGTATATAATAATAAAGCAGCTTTTATTATGAGTTTATTGTTTTTGAAAAAGTCCAGACCCTACATGGCAGTACAGAAGAGGAGTTAGTCAATTATCCTTATGCACCAGCTATATCCAAAGAACAATGCAACCTAAATGTGGATGTGTGTAGTTTTTTTTTTTTACTGTTCTTATATGTGTGTGTTTGTGTTAGTCTCTCAGTCATATCTGACTCTTTGCAACCCCATGGACTGTAGCCCACCAGGCTCCTCTGTCCATGGAATTCTCCAGGCAAGAATACTGGAGTGGGTAGCTGTTCTCTTCTCTAGGGGATCTTCCCAACCCAGGGATCAAACCCGGGTCTCCTGCATTGCAGGCAGATTCTTTACCATCTGAGCCACCAAGGAATATGTGTGTTTTAATAATGCACCATTAGATAATTTGGCCTTAGTTTGACAGCAGCTATATGTCATTCTAAGGAAATCAAAACTCTAGTACTAGCCAACTTGGTTAGTAACAGTCAGTCTAAGAAAGGACACTGTGTCATTTAGTTACCAAGAGCATGGCTTCTGGAATCAAATTACCTTGGCTTGATTCCTGGCTCCCTAGCCTAACGCCTATGGTCTGAGAACAAACTAAACTTTTAGGGTCTCAGTTTCTCTCTTCAAAATAGTGCATGTATGCATGCTAAGTCGCTTCAGTCATATCCAGCTCTTTGCAACATTGTGGACTATAGCCTGCCAGGCTCTTCTGTCCATGGGATTCTCCAGGTAACTGGAGTGGGTTGTCATGCTCTTTTCCTGGGGATCTTCCCAGCCCAGGGATTGAACCTGTGTCTCTTATGTCTCCTGCATTGGCAGATGGGTTCTTTACCACTAGTGACACCTGGGAAGCCCATAATAGTGTCTGAGCCTTAATACTGTTTTGGCTATTATATGAAATAATTCATAATAATTAAAAAGTCCATGTGTAGGGCTTAACTCCAGCCCAGAATGTGTTAAATGCTCTATAACCATGCACTCATAGGAGGAGTAATAGTGACAATGGCTTCTTTACCAAAATTCAATGATGGTTCCCATTGGAAAGCAGCTTCTTTAGTCATTGAAAATATGCTTTAATCATTAGAAGTTCACATTTTACAGAGCATATTCAAGAATATAGGTGTGAGTACAACGAGGCCATTCCAATACTTTTTCCTTCAGTAATAACATAAGCAGAAGAGGTATGATCTGGAAAAAAATTTAACTTAGTAGAAGATTTTTGACATTCTGGTGATGAATTCTAAAAATAATAGTAAACACAGGCCCAATATATGTTGAGCACTGATCTTAGTAATTGACATGTATTCACTCATTCCAACCTTATGAATGCCCTCTTTTTATCCTAGCTTTTTTTTAAAAGTCAACTTGTCATTTATTTATTTATTTGGCTGTATCGGATCTTAGTTGCAGCACACAGAATCTTTCATTGCGGTACACGGATTCTCTAGTTGTGGCATGTGGGCTTAGTTGCTCCATAGCATGTAGGAATCTTAGTTCCCCGACCAGGGATTGAACCCATGCCCCTTGCTTTGCAAGGTGGATTCTTAACCCCTGGACCACCAGGGAAGTCCCTATCCCAGCTTGAAAAATGCAGAGACTGAGGCAAAGAGAAGTGGGCTCGAGGTCCTAGGACTAGAAAGTGTGAGGAATTGGGAGTCATACCCAGGAACCTGGGTTCCAGGTTTGTGTGCCTCAAGGCAGCGTGGTGTGTCCGTGACTCATGGCTACTCCTCTGGGGTGGATGCCTCCCCTGGGCCCTCCCCATCAGACACTCCTGGCTCAGCTTTTCTGCTGTCCTACCCCCTTCCCAATGCCTGCATCTCATGGTGCAGTGTATTCCTCACCCATGACTAAGCCTCTCCACCCAAGACTATGTCTAAGACGTGAATGAGAGGGGAGTTTCTGCTGCCAGGTGGTAGGAGAACATCTGGTGAGCTCAGCACAGGGAAATGAATTGTCAGAGTCATGCTTCTCCTGGGAAAGATGTTCTCACATCATTGTGATCTTCTCCAAGTAAAGTGAGGATCTAGGTAGGTTGAAGTTTTTGACAAAGTGGATATTTAGAGAAATCTCAGATCTCTCCCAAGAGAAATTGTCAGTTTCACTTACATAAGACTGGCCTGTGCGTGTGAAAACCTTGGAAGTCCCTGTTTTGATGTCTGGAATCCCCAAATGTGCCAGACCCTCCTGCCACAGCTTCCTGCCATGTTTATATATTCTCAAAAAGAAGATGTGCTAATCAAGAAATTTTCAAGAGAAACAGTCATCAGCTATGTCCAATATGAAACAGCAGCACCTAGACACAGCCAAATCTATCCATTCATAGTCATGCATAGGCAGAGTTTGTTTTGCCCTTGCCCCAGCCCTTTACATACTAAAGAAGTGAAATTGTTGACACTGCAAACGTTGATTGATTTTTTTTTCCAGTGGGAAAACTCAAAACTTCAAAGCAGAAACTAAAGGCCGATGTTCAGGTTTGCCTGGTGTGGATTGAAACCCTCTCCTCATTATTTATAATATTAAAGGTCATTAGTGTCATGTTACTGATTGCATGAAGTAAATTTCCAGGGAATGGGTATTTCCTGTTAATTTTTCACTCTGGATCCTGGGAAAGGAATCTGGGTCCTGTAGACAGAGTTGCATAGTGGGGCCTCCAGAGGAAGATGCACATTACTTAAAATCAGGACTTATGCAGCTTCTGGCAAATCAACTGAAACGGGCTATCTGAAGGTCAAGTAAATGAGTAATGATGCATTATTTGTATTAGTCCTGGAGAAGGAAATGGCAACCCACTCCAGTATTCTAGCCTGGAGGATTCCATGGACAGAAGTGCCTGGCAGGCTACAGTCCATGTGGTTGCAGAGAGTCGGACACGACTGAGTGACTAACACACACAAGAAAAATATTCTAATAAAATCCCAATCCAATGCCTTTTTGTAATATTCTTTTTGAACACTGAAATTGGTGCCTACTCCCTTATTTCATTTCCCTCTGAACTCTATCCAGGTTGTAGAATCAAGTGAATTGGTTCAGATGGTATTAGACCCTTTTTGCTTAGTCTCAGACTAGCACATGCCTGGATGTTTTATAAAAAGACAATATATTTGATTTTAAAGGTCAGAGTTTTTAATCTTTTTAAATTCTTTTTTTTTTCAGCCGCACCAAGTGGCTTATGGAACCTTAGTTCCCCAATCAGGGATTGTGCTATACAGTAGGGTCCTTATTGATAATTTTACATATAGCAGTAGTGTGTATCTGTTAATCCAAAACTCCTATTTTATCTCTCCCTCCCTTTTCCCTTTAGTAATCATAAGTTTGCTTTCTATGCCTGTCAGTCTATTACAAAGATGCATTTTATTTTTTTTTCCACTTATTTTTATTAGTTGGAGGCTAATTACTTTACAATATTGTAGTTGTTTTTGTCATACATTGACATGAATCAGCCATGGACTTACATTTTAAAAAAGAATTTAATTTGGTGGTGAGAAATACGAAATGAATGTAAAACTGAATATAGATGCCTCTCTATAAATAATAAGTAAAATCATTTAGCTTTTGATACTAGTTGGTTGAGGTGAAGAAATTCAAAGATACATATACACTGAATCAAAAATCACCATTTTTGTATGTCACAAATGTTATTGGCAATGTACATATGGTTCAACATAATGCTAGCTATAATTTTTTAACATCACATTTAAACAAATTACAGGGCTCCCTGGGCAATAGCAGCTTTGACAAATACCAATGTGAAAGCAGAAATATTAGAGGATTCTGGAAAATCCATCACGTTGTGATCTATAACCCAGCTTGGTAGGAGCAGGTATTTCATCATCATAGTTTATGAAGCAAAATGAAAGTTTGTCTTCGAATGATTAAGGTAGTTAAGATCCTGCTGTAACCATTGAAACCACTTAAAACAGATGCAAATGCAGTTCTTTCTAAAATATCAGATGATTGAGCCTTATATGTGTTGATTCTGGAAGCATTCATTGACTGGACTTTGACATTTTTTAAGTGCTCCATTTTTGTGAGAGATCTAATTATTGATCAATGTGGAACTTCTCTTTTACTGTTGGTTTTAGTTATCCCCGAAAATTCTGTGAAAGAATTCCTCAGAGCACCCGGTACCATCAAGGACAGAATTAAGAAGTTGCTTGCTCACAAGAATAGCATGAGAAAGAAGGTAAAAATGAAAAACATTGAAGGATCCAGAGGGACTCCCACCCCAAAGGTTGACTTGGAGCCCTTCAGTTCTGAAGACAATGTTTCCAGAGATGAGAACCCTCATGGAGAAAAAAAGAGGAATGAACACAGAAAGAAAGAAAAACTGGAGGATGAGAAAAGAGATGAGAACCATGTGGAGCAGGAGCAAAGCCTTCGTGGAGATGTGTTTTGTGAGTATCAAGTATGACTTTTGTTAATTTATGCATCTTATGAAAAGTGAATTGTAGTTTTCCCTGGCAAATGACAGGAAAGAGGAAGATAGTTTCATGCCGTAACTAAGATGGTGAAGTAAAGTGTGACAGTTAGTCGCTCAGTCGTGTCCAGCTCTTTACGACCCCATGGACTGTAGTCCACCAGGCTCCTCTGCCCATGGAATTCTCCAGGCAAGAATACTGGAATGAGTAGCCAATCTCTACTCCAGGGAATCTTCCCAACCCAGGGATCGAACCCTGGTCTCCCGCATTGCAAGCAGATTCTTTACCATCTGAGTCACCAGGGAAGCCTAAATAAGATGGGGTCAGCTTTAAATCCTAAGAAGCAAGGTTCTCTGTATGGTCTGGAAACTAACATCTTCTGCAGATACAAAATCACATTTGCTGCTGTGGGATGCGCAGAAGGTCAGTCCTTTCCACTTACCTGGGGGGTGTCCTATTTGATGCAGCCCCTCATTCTGCTCCTGACCAAGGAAGCCTGCTTGTCCTTCCAGCTCAGTCATCTGGCTGCCCAGCTTTGCATGCAATGTACCCCTAAACCCTAGAGAGCCCCCCTGCAGCCCAGGTAGATCTGCTGATCTCTACCTTTTCCCTTCTTGAAGGCATTTTTACAGGCACACTCAGTAAAAAGAGAATGTCAGAGTTGTGTGGTTATAATTTTAAAAGGTAAAATAGACAGAGGAACATTCTATATAGGGCTTAAGCTTCAGTTTTCTACATGAGCCGGAGAATCACCATTGGCACTGGTGACCATGCAGAGCCATCATCAGTCTCGGCTCCTGCAAGGGGATTTCCATGTTGACCCAATCTAGGACTTTCCCTTTCATTCTCACCAGGCATCTGTTGCTCCCTCTCTATTTTGCCTTGTCTGTGCTTGCCTCATTGTTGTTGCTGTTGTGCAGTTACTCAGTCGTGTCCAACTCTTTCCGACCCCATGGGCTGCAGCACACCAGGCTTCCCTGTCCTTCACCATCTCCCAGAGCTTGCCCAAACTCATGTCCATTGACTCAGTGATACCATCCAACCATTTCATCCTCTGTTGTCCCCTTCTCCTCCTGCCTTCAATCTTTCCCAGCATCAAAGTCTTTTCTAAGGAGTCACTTCTTCCCATCAGGTGGCCAAAGTATTGGAGCTTCAGCTTCAGCATCAGTCCTTCCAATGATTATTCAGGATTGACTTCCTTTAGGATTTACTGGTTTGATCTCCTTCCAGACCAAGGGACTCTCAAGAATCTTCTCCAACACCACAGCTTGAAAGCATCAGTTCTTCAGTGCTCAGCCTTCTTTATGGTCCAACAGTCACATCCATACATAACTACTGGAAAAACCATAGTATTGACTATACAGATCTTTGTCAGCAAAGTCATATCTCTGCTTTTTAATATGCTGTGTTTAGGTTAGTTAGGTGATGCCTAATGAGGTCCACTGGGGGCACCTTTCAAAAAAGATGTTCTAGATGAGGAAACTGGCACCAATATGAATGCTTTGGAAATGTTAGGGAAACACTGCTGTAACATACTCTGTAAGTAGAACACAGCTGTCCCTTGGTATCCCTGGGGGATTGGTCCCAGGAACCCCTGCTGACACAAAATTCCATGGATGCTCAAGTTTTATATAAAATGGTGCAGTATTCATATATAACCTAAACACATCCTCCCCTATACTTTAAGTAGTCTCTAGATTACTTAAAAGACCTAATACAATGTAAATGCTATGTAAATGGTTTCCTGGCATGCAAGGCAAATTCACATTTTGCTCTTTGGAACTTTCTGGATTTTTTAAATATATATTTTCAACCTGTCGTTGGTTGAATCTGTGGACTTGGAGCCCGTGGTTATGAGTGGCCAGCTGTGTATAAGCCATATATGATAAACCCTCTTTGTTCATTGATTCATACCTTCTTAGTATGTGGGGCTTTAGGGATTTTTTTTTACTGATCAAGTGTTCATTGTTAGCCCCTAAGGTGAATGAAGCGGGTGAAGCTGATCTGGTTCTGGTCCAAAGAAAAACTACATCATCCCACCTGAAACACAAAGGTGAGTAACATATATTAGAAATGAGTATATTTTAGGAGTAATAGCACTCATAAAGAATATTGAAGAATGGAAGCAAGCATTACCTGGCATCTTTTAATTTTAGAAGTTAGAAATAAAATATCTTTTCTGGAATAGGGGAAAATACTGGTTAAGAAGAAAGGAAAGTGAGAGAAGAGGCCGTGTGTTTGTACTGGCTTAAGATATATGTAGATGGACAGCCTGGATTCCAATCTAGTTTAGGAGTCAGGTCTAGTTCCAGCCTTCAGTGTTTGGAGGACTTGGTCAAATCACTTATGACTCTCAGTTTTACTTTCTTGAAAATGGGCATGATTGTAGAATTTTTGTGGCAGCCACATCAAATGATATAATGTACGTGAAAATGCTTTGCAAATCGTTAATGCATCACCAACTAGTTGCTGCCCCTTATCACTTTAGCTTTTCCCCTTTCTTTGCCCTTCCTGTATTCCTTAGTATAAACTGCAAAAGCCCCCCATTCCAAGCCAGAGTCTGGTATTCATTACAAATCAGAAACGTCTCAGTCTTTCCTCTTTTTCCCAGTGGTAATTTCTGACACCTACATCAGAGGTCAAGACTTTTTCTATAAAGGGCCAAAGGGTGAATATTTCAGGCTTTGTGAACCATACACTCTCTGTTGCATCTGTCAGCTCTATCACTGCAGCTCAAAAGCAACCACAGACAATATATAAATGAATAGGCATGGTGTGTTTCAATAAAACTTTATTTGCAAGAACAAGCAGTGGGCCAGGATATTAGTTTGCTGACCCAAATTGACATAAAAGTAACTGGAGGCACTGGGTCAAAGGTTGTGCTAGCTGACCCTGTACTCCATGCAGTTGTTAGGATTTGTTAAGTGAACATTTGTTAGATTGAGCCCCTGGGTGCCAGATGCTTCAACAAAAGACCACAAAAGAAATTGAAATAGACAAGTTTATTACTCCAGGTCTTGGGGGACGACATGGCAAGGCCTCCAGGGGCCCCAGAGGGAAGTCCAAGCACAGCGTGGGGCACACGCCTCTATGAGGGTCCATGTGTGTGTAGTGCTTTGGGCTTGTTGGGCTAAGGTTGCATTGATGGACTCCAACAAAAACAATTGGGGTGTTAGTAAGCTTCAGGGGGATCTTATCTAAGGCAGACACAAGGCCCCGGGAAGCAGGGAAGGGTGTCAATCACAGGGGACATTAGGAAAGTCATATGAGGAATTCACTTTTCTTAGTGACTCCATGGGCTCTTATCTAGGGCTTGCACTTGCATGAGGGCTAGTGCCAGTTTAAGGCCCTCGCAGACTGCAGGGCCAAACAAAATGGATGCCAAGACAGCCATACTTAGCTAAACTTTTTTTAAATTGAAATATATTTGATTGACAATGTTGTGTTAGTTTCTGCTGCACAGCAGAGTGATCCAGTTATACATTCATATGCACATATTTATTTTTATATTCTTTCCCTTGTGGTTTGTCATAGGATATTGAATATAGTTCCCTGTGCTATGCAGTAGGACCTTGTTGTTTATCCATCCTATATATCATAGTTTGCATCTTTTAGTCCCAAATTCCCTAAACTCTTGACAGCAATTGCAAACATGGCCATGCCTTCCAAAGCTCCCAATGTTAAAACATTTCCTAATCCGCTTAATGATGCTGAAATGCACCCTTTTTCTTAGCAGATTTAAATATCTCAGTTGACTGCACCTTTGACCATGGCGTCTGTGACTGGAAACAGGACGTAGAAGATGATTTCGACTGGAATCCTGCGGACCGAGATAATGGTATGTAGTCTTCACTGATCTATGTCCTATGATCCGGCCCCGGAATTAAAGTTATCCAATGATGCAAGGGTAATTGTTCTCATTGCTTGTGAAGTCAGGGTTGTTGGTCACGTTTGGAAGCTTTTAGACCTTCCCAAGTCTTCCCTGATAAATGATTGACTTAGTCTGTTTCCCACCCACCTACCCTGTAAAGGATTCTCCAGCAAACCTCTTCCATATTCACTCCCCTGCTGCTGAGACACAGATGTAGCACTTTGTATAAGGTTTAAGAGTATTTGGGAAAAGGTAGAAGGAGGTTGTTTCTTTTCCCCAGTTTACCAGCTATGGTGCTCTGTGGTTTTCTTTTGAGTTTAGGAGGAGGGGAAAATGAATCTTGAAAGAAAATATTAATATGACCTTTCCCTAAACCTGGAGTTTTAGGAGTGTCATCCCTCAGAGCACTGAAATAATATCGAGCAACAGATCAGCACTCTGAACTCCTGGACTGGACTTGCCCACCTATCGTTGGAGGGTTTCTTTCTTTCCAGTTAACCTTGAATTTTTCTCTGCCGAAGCTTTGAGTTGCCTACTTTCCACTGTCTACTCTTGATGGGCTCTAACTTCCTTTGAGGCAGAGCATTTGGTTAGCAGATCCCATTTGGAGCATAAATTGAATTTTGGTCATTTAAGGCTGACTGTAATTAGAAATAACTGTTATACCTTCAGGAAATCTGGTTCTTTACCAATCAAAGTGTTTATTTGGGGAGGTATATGCCCAGTCCTCAGGTAAAAGATCCTTCTAGATCCTTCCTTGTCACTGATTCCTCCCTGAGAGCCTTCCTTGCAAGCCCTTACATGCAATCAGGAAACCTGGGTATCTCCTAACAAAAATTCCTTTTAGAACGTGGGATTAAGGTAGAGGATAGAAGTTCCCTATTTACAAACCCCTGATTTACAAATAACTCTGAGGTTCACTCAACACGGGATGAATCAGCATTTTTAGAAGGACGAAATCTCAAGGACAGATCAAAGTGGGCTTGAACTGGAGTGAAAGGGAAACCTACCACGGTGGGTCACAAAAGACTGTAGGTAGTAGAACTACTAGATAAAATGTAGGATGCCTCAATTTCTGATAAGCAGCGCATGCTTTTTAGTACATCTCAGACATGTTTATGTGAAATGAAAACTTCACAGGGCATTCTGTACTTTTATTCTCTGAATCTGGCAAACTTACTAACTGAGGGAAGAAGACCAGACAGTCTCTGGGTCCAGTGAAAACTAAAGCAATGTCAACCTGGGCCCTGAGAATGTCTCTAGGAGTTGGACTACCAGAAAACTCCACCACCCACCATGTCTTTCTCCTGGCTTCTAGAGGAATATCTTCTTTCTGTCAACTTCTTTGAACACCACCGTATGAGAGTTTTTGTTCAAGTCCATCAAAGCCACAACCAGAAGGCTGCAGATGAGCAAACATCTACTACACTGGTTACAAAATTATTGGGAAAAGGATCTGAGAAACAGAAGGTGATCTGTGTTCCTGCCATCTTCAAACAGAACTTGGAGTGATACGTTACACATGGTGGCTGAGCTCCATGATACCATTAGTACAAATTCATGTATCTTGTGAATTAAATACCATACTGTGGACCCACCTAACCAGCTAGGCATCATACATACAACTTAGTGGAGAAATGCATTCCAGGGTGAAACAACCAAGGTGGAAAGTTCTGGAACACAAGTTTTGTGTTAAAATTATCTACAGTGCTCAAAGACCATTAAATTAGACTCTTACCCCATATTTACTACTACCAAGCTTTGTGAATGTGAACAGATTCCTCAGTTTCTCTAACTCTCGGTTTTCCTCTCTACAGAGCAAAGAATTTCAGCCCTAGGATACTAAAATTCATGTTAGCATGAAAATTTTGTTCCTAAATATTTGAAATGAAAAGAACTTGAGCTTTCCCTATAGGAGCCTAGTGTTCATTTTTTAACAGCTATTTTATTCACTGTAGCCAAACCCTTTGCAATGGCCTCATTAACTGTGGGTTTATCTTCTCTTCCAGCTGTTGGCTACTATATGGCTGTTTCGGCCCTGACAGGTCAGAAGAAGGACATCGGCCGTTTGAAACTTCTCCTCCCCAACCTGCAACCCCACAGCAACTTCTGTTTGCTCTTTCATTACCGGCTGGCTGGAAACAAAGTAGGGAAGCTTAGAGTGTTTGCAAAAAATAGTAACAGTGCCCTGGCCTGGGAGAAAACCAGGAGCACCGATGAACGGTGGAAGATGGGGAAAATTCAGCTGTATCATGGAACTGATACTCCCAAAAGCGTAAGTGGAAAACTGTATTAAATGAGATATTTACATTCTTTTTCAGTGACTTAACAAACAAAGCAAAACACTTACTGAAGTACCTAGGCCTTGGGGCTACAAAGATAAATAAGACTTTCCCCTCCACTTAAAGAGCTTATATTCTGGAGTGAAATAGGCAAGGTATTTAACAGCACAACTAATGATAATACTTGTCAGATGCAGGCATATCATATTCTGTGGAAATGAACTGCTCATGTGTCAGGCTCCTCCCACCAACTTCCTTCCAAACCGGGCTCTAAATTCCTTACTACATAAAAGCACATCCTGCTCATTGATTTTGTGCCCAGCACTTATCACAATGAATGGAAACTAGAAGGTCATTTTCCAAAATATTTATTTTATTCAGGTATAGTTAATTTATAATGTTGTGTTCATTTCTGCAGTACAGCAAGGTGATTCAGTTCTACCTCTATATGGAGTAAGTCCCCTGTATAGTAAGTCCCCTGCACATGAATGAGTTCTGTTCCTAGAACGCATTTGTAAATCCAGCAAATTTAGCCTAGGTACCTATCTAACACAATTGGCTATATAGTATTGTACTGTAATAGGTTTATAATACTTTTCACACAAATAATACATAAAAAACACAAAAAATAAAGAAAACATTTTAAATCTTACAGTACAGTACCTCGAAAAGCACAGTAGTGCAGAACAATAGCTGGCACACAGGGGCTGGCATCGAGTGGACAGGCAAGAAGAGGTACCGATGGAGGACAGAGAGGAGGTGGGAGATGGTAGAGCTGAAGGGTCGTCAGCAATAGGAGACAGAGGGTGAGCTGTAATGTCACTCAGGCCTGACATGAATGGAACATACGTTTGCATCTCTGAAAGCTAGAAACGTGAAGGCTCATCTGTAGGGGACTTAACTATAATTCTTCTTCCTAACCTTTTCCATCATGGTTTATCACAAGGTATTGAATATAGTTCCCCGTGCTCTACAGTAGGACCTTGCTGTTTATCCATTCTCTAACAGTTTGCATCTGCTAACCCCAAATTCCCAATCCATCCCTCCCCCACCCCACCTTGGTAACCACAAGTCTGTTCTCTATGTCTGTGAGTCTGTTTCTGTTTTGTAGATAGGCTCACTTGTCTCATATTTTATTTTATTTATTTTTTGGCCCCAATATGCCACATGCAGGATCTTAGCTCCCTGACTGGGGATCAAACCCATGCCCCCCGCATTGGGAGTGCAGAGTCTTAACCACTGGACTGCCAGGGAAGTCCACATTTATGTCATATTTTAGATTCCACATATGACTGATATCATATGGTGTTGGTCTTTCTCTGTCTGACTTACTTCACTTAATGTGACATTCTCTAGGTCCATCCATGTTAGTTCCTGGACCAGGGATGGAACCTGGGCCCTGGCAGTGCAAGCTCCAAGTCCTAACCAAAAGACCATCAGGGAATTCCCAGTTACTATCTCATATATGATAGTGTATATATGTTAATCCCAGTCTCCCAGTTTATCCCTCCCTACCCCATCCCCTTTGGTAATCATGTTTGTTTTCTATGTCTATGGCTCTGTTTTGTAAATAAGTTCATATGTACTATTTTTTCGCACTATTTTTTTAGATTCCACATATAAATCATATCACATTTGTCTTTCTCTGTCTTACTTCATTCAGTAGGACCAACTAGATCCATCCATATTGTTGCAAATGGCATTATTTCATTCTTTTTTATGGCTGAGTAATATTCCATTATACCACACCTTCTTTTCCATTCATCTGTTGATGGACATCTAGGTTGCTTCCATATCTTGGCTATTGTAAACAGCTCTGCAATGAACATTGGGATGCATATGTCTTTTCAAATTACAGTTTTCTTGGCACCCAGGAGTGGGATTGGCCTATCATATGGCAGCTCTGTGTTTAGTCTTTTAAGGAACTACCATACAGATCTCCAGAGTGGCTGTACCAATTTGCATTCCCACCAGTGAAGTAGGAGGGTTCACAATGATAATTAAATTTCTTCTAGCCTGGGTTTTGAAAAGAAACTCGTATTATTCCTTTAGTTTTGCTTTTTTTTTTTCCTTCTAAATGGGAAGGAATTCCAAAATTTCCTCTTAAACTTTACTGTTCTCAGCTTTCCAGGGCTTTCCAGATTCTTTTAGGTGTTGCAGGAGCCCTGTTTTCTCTGATTGTAGTTCACTCAGTGTAGATACCAGGCATCTGGAAAATAAATTCAATGTCAAAGCCTGTTTCTATGGAATAGGGACATATGAATTGAGTTCAGTTTAATAGAAATTAAATAGTGGGACTTTATCATTGCTTTAAATATTTTCAGGTAATATTTTATTCCCTCTCCATTATTAGATCATTTTTGAAGCTGAACGTGGCAAGGGCAAGACTGGAGAAATTGCAGTGGACGGTGTCTTGCTGGTTTCAGGCTTATGTCCAGATGGCCTTTTATCTGTGGATGGTTGAATGTTACTGTTATCTTTTATATCTTTATATTTGACTTTTTATGTCAATTCTCTGTTTTTTTATCATAGATTTCCCCCCCCACACCATTTTAAAAATACAGACTGAAAAATTGTGGTGTACAAACAGACTCATTATTGTAAGATGCCTTTCTTGTATACAATATACTGATATTTGCTTTAAATATAGTACCATTGTGTCTTCTCATTCATTTCTGAGTCTATAAAATGTGGACATATCAGTTCAGCCCTCCCCACCCCAGTACATTTGATGTGTCTACATGACTTGATGAACCATTTTATGTGATGTTTCTAGAGTTACCAAAAAAAAAAAAAAAAAGGCAGCACAGAGAAATGTTTAACTGTTTGACTTTTATGGCACTTCTTAGAAACTATAACATCACAGATAGACTTTTACCTAAGTGGCTTAGTCAGATCTTTTACAACCAAGGTTGTATATTTAAGTCCTTTGTAATAATAATATCCAAATAACCACCTTGTGTCATGGTTAAAGTTTTTCTAAGTAATAAAATGTGTTGTTGATTGTATGCTTAATTATGTGATGGTTATTTGCTTTGCTAGAAAATGTGTTTTATATTCTTTTTTTTCTGTGAAAATACTTACATTATTTTTGACTTATATTCTTAAAAATTCTTAAAATTACTTGCTACTATGGAAACACACAACTGCTTTCTTAGGCCTCATAACTATGATGCCAATTAGCTTAAATTGTTGAACTGAAGGTCTCAGAGAATTATCGAAATCAAATGATGCTAGTAACCAGGTTCCAAAAAAGACCAATGCCTCCTTGTCTATTTCTCTTTTCTTCTGAATTCAAGAACTGCTTTGTGTGGTAATGAATCCTGAGTGTACATTCATGCGGATGAAAGTATATTCTGTTTTAAGATTCTAGGTTGGAAGGTAGTTCAGGATAGCTCCCAAACAGAAGATTCCCCAGATATTTGCCTATTAGCCCTGGAAGCGACGAAGGCATTGACCTGTAAAAGGAAGGAAAGCGAGAATGTGTCCACCTACTAATCCTTAAAATTTGAAGCCTTTTTCTTAAGTTTTTTTGTATTGAAACTCATAGTAATCCTTCTTCTTTGTCTTTTTCTTTTAAATAATCCTTCTTCAACTTGTTGAAGAAGGATTATTTAAAAGAAAAAAAAAAGACAAGAAGGATTCAGTCAGTTCAGTTGAGTTCAGTCGCTCAGTCGTGTCCGACTCTTTGCGACCCCATGAACCGCAGCATGCCAGGCCTCCCTGTCTATCACCAGCTCCCAGAGTTTACTCAAACTCATGCCCATCGAGTCAGTGATGCCATCCAGCCATCTCATCCTCTGTCGTCCCCTTCTCCTGCCCCCAATCCCTCCCAGCATCAGGGTCTTTTCCAATAAGTCAACTCTTCACATGAGGTGGCCAAAGTACTGAAGTTTCAGCTTCAGCATCAGTCCTTCCAGTGAACACCCAGGACTGATCTCCTTTAGGATGGACTGGTTGGATCTGAAGAAGGATTATAAGGGTTTAAATCGAATTTTTAAGATGGTGGGAAAAAATACATTGTTTTCGTTTAGTGTGAAGTTCTTTGCCCAAGAAAGTCAACACAGGACTGTGGCTGTATCTGTTAGGATAACTACTAGTTATAGAAACCCCCAAAACAGTGTTTCTAGTGAGACCAGATGAAGAACTGCCTGGCTCAGTGAAATCAGCCCACAGAATGGTAAGAGATAATATTATAAAGTGGTTGTGTTAAGATGTGAAAATGAAAATGTGGGGTGGTTTGTTACACAGCAAAAGTTGACTGACACAAGTGATTTCTATTATATGACTGTGCTAGAACCTGAAGACCTCCCCCACCGTGTCTCCTCAGTGACCAAGGAAATTTGAGAGCATAGTTATGGCTTAGAGTAAAGGAAGATAGAGAGGAGAATGTGCAGTGAAGGCCAGTCAGTGCCCCAGTAACCCATGTTATAGGAAGAGATGTTAAACTGAAATGAAATAGGGAGGCCTGCAACTATGTTACATATAGGGAGAAAATCAATATGAAGCTGATTTAAATTGAATTTAGTAATATTGCATGTTTCTCTAGTATCTGTAGCAGAGACTTCTAGTTGCCTGCCCAATATCCTTTCTCACCTTTTTCCTTACCAGTATAACCATGTATAAATATATATGGGGGGACTGCAGTGTGTTCAACTAAAAGGCTGTGTTCCCCAACCTCTCCTTCAGATGGGGGAGCTCACTGAAGTCACTGGTGAGGCTTCCAGGAAGGATCATTAAAGAAGGCTCTCAGTCGGCAGTTCCTTTCACCATTTTGCTTCCTCCTTCCTGCCCGCAATGTGATTATGAAGGCAGGAGCTCTGGGAGCTGCCTTGTGACCATGAGGGCAAGGGCCACAAACGATGATGGAATACACAGCTGGAGGAAAGCTGGGTTCCTGATGGCATGGTGACATGTCTACCCTGTCCCACACTGGTCACTGCTTGACGTTACATGAGACAAAAATAAGTCCTCTCTTGGCCTATCTGGGATTTCAAACAAAACACAATCCAGTGTCAGGTGACCATTCTTCCTGAGCCCCAGAGGGCTGCCCTGGGGCTATGTCCACTGCAAGACCACAGTCTTTGGGACTAACTTCTTGGACCTTAAATACCAATATCTTGTTTCGAATTCCAGTCCACAGCCTATAGTCATGGATCTCTAGCCTGCAGCACACGGAATCCCATTGGATTCCTTTGGCGAACCCAAGGTCAAATTATTCATCCACGACTCCCATACCTGTGGACCCTGGCCACCACCCAACATGGAACTCCCCTTGTCATTCATCCTCTCCCACTCTCTCCTCCCGTCGCTGTTAGGGGCTCCCTCCTCTGGACACTAACTCCCACCATTTCTGTCCCTTCCCCATCACGCCTGCTCCTCTCCTAAGCAAGGAGGAATACTGAACAACCCCTTCTGCTCGGGCACTTGATGCCTCCTGAAGACGGCACTGATCTCTAGCGTGGCCTGATGTCGCCTATATTTTTGGTACTCTTCTTTTTTCCTTAGGCACAGAATACTTGTGGGATGACTCTGGAATACTTTTACCTGAAGATGTTTTCAGATGTCAAGAATCATTGCCCTCCTTGCAAAGCTAATAAGTTGACCTGTCACAGTTTTCTTAGGTATCAGTAGAAAAGAAAAGCCTCCTGGGTCAGAGAGAGACTTTATTTCTCATGGGACAACAGGTAGCATGGGCCTCAGGGTCACCCCACTGCCCCTTACCCCCCACCCCGAGTCTCCCAGGGGGCGGGGCAACAAAGAGGCAGGTCCAGAGGGATGCCAGGTACAGGGTGAGCTTGTGTCCCAGCCGAAGAGTCCTGAGTTAAGGAAAGCCCCAGTCTTATAAGGGGACCACTAGCCCACCTGCCCAAACTTCGCCCTAGAAGGAGACTGGGTTTTTTGCCTTTGTCAGGAAACAAATCTGCTCTGGAGAAATAAGATACTATCTCTATTCTCCCAGGCTGTGTGCCCTACCACCATCCTTGATAAGACAGCACAGAACAAAAGCAGCCAACGCCTTTTACGGAAAACCGGCAGAAACACACGAGACCCATGGAGAATGGCCTCCCGACAGCAGCCCCTTAGGACTTTTCAGCAGTCAGTTGGGTGAGGGGATGGCACTGAGAAAAGCTGGGCAGCAGTGTGGGCTCCTGAGAAGTTTAGAACTTGGCAACTAACATTCTCACCTTTGATACTACTGCTTTCTGGAACTTACTTTTCCAGGACTGATGCTTAAATCTTTTTCCAATCAGACCAGAAGAAATGAGGTGAATTAGTTTCTGCAAAATAAACAGACATAAAGTAAAAGCATTCTATGTTCTGAGAAAGAACTATCAATTTTTTAAATTTTTTTGTAATTTTATTTGTATTTTACATTGGGGTAGAGTTTTTCATATGTACAGCACAGTGGTTTAGTTAAAACATGTCCATATATCTATTCTTTTTCAGATTTTTTTCCCATATAGGTTATTACAGAATATTGAGTAGAATTCCTGGCACTATACAGTAGGTCCTTGTTGATTATCTATTTTATATAAATGTGTATATGTTGACCCCAAACTCCTCATTTATCCCTCCCCTTCACCTTTCCCCTTTGGTAACCATAAGTTTGTTTTCAAAGTCTGTGATACTGTTTCTGTCTTGTAGATAAGTTCATTGGTATCATCTTTTTAGATTCCACATGTAAGTGATATCATATGATATTTGTCTCTCTCTAACTCACTTCACTTAGTATGATAATCTAGGTTCATCCAACTTGCTGCAAACGGCATCCAAAAATTTTAGAATATGTTATAATTTGATACTTCTTCTCCAATAATGGTTGTTTTTAAGTCAAATATTCTTGCCTTTTAGAACATTTAAAGTGCTGTAGAAATCTGACAGGGCCAAGTGGATAATGACTATTTAGCATCATTTCAAGTAAATGCAGTTCTTTTGGTCAGTGGAGTGCTATCAGACAGATAGACCAAATGCCTGATAGTTGCTCCCCAAGCAGGGATGAGGGCTAGGGGTAGTGGCTAGACACATGTGTCTATTTTCAAAATGCCTTTTATAGAGGAATGCCCCTAACCACGTTTGCCTGTAGATATTTTTAATACTCCTTTAACAGGCCTGAGGCCCTTTGAGAAGGTTTAGACCAGGTCAGATCTAAAAGGCCACTGTAAATGAGTTCAACCTTTTTCTTTTTCCTCTTCAAGTCAGTGAAACAGTGACTGCAAAGGCCAGATCACTGTGTTCGGTCTTCACTCAAAGCCTCATCCTGCAGCTACATGGAGGCAGCTTCATTCTGTGTGGCCAGGGAATGGCAAAGCAGTTAGCAATTTGAGATTTCTGTAAATGTGTACAGATAGGGGTTCTTTCTTCCTGTGGAAAATGGAGTTGTAGATTGGAGTAGTTATTTATGACCTCTTGGGAACTCTTACATCTTTAAATACCCTAGCCTGCTTCATAAAAATTCCATCC